CTTGACGCCTCTCTTAGCAAAAGACTTAGGTACTCCAGAAATTAAGTCTTCTGTTGCAATTACAAAGTATTTTTACAAAGCCATTTTGCAGTAACTGTGCTGTAGAGAAATCCTTTCCCAGAAGATCTGTAATATAATTCATTTGTGGACTCTTTCAAGAATTATATCAAGAACTGAAGGTGCTTTGTGAAGAGCTTTATGAAAAACCTGATACAGCAGTCATAGTTAGAGTTCTCAGTATGGGAGTAAAGAGAAGCATTGAATGTATGCTAGCTCTCCTGAAGGTATTTTATTTTGGCCTGAAACAAAGCACAAAAAATAAACTGTTTTATTTCTAATGCTGTTCATGTTTGGAAGAGTGAGAATTTGAAAACAGAATATGCAGTGGAAGTGTAAAATTGCACACACTTTCAAAAATCCAGTGGGACAAGCACTACTTTTGCTCATTTACTTGCCAGTGATTTCAATACCATGAGGAGTTGACTGTTATCTCAGGCATCCTTCTGTTTATACCAGCAACTACAGAGGATGGGTTTTTTTTATTTTTTGACACACATCTCCATTACATTCCTGTTTATAAGTTGTTTTGTCATTAAAAAATGTAAATGCATCTGAGGCAGGCATAAAAATGTCTTTCATTTATCTTGTGCACCCTTGCAATTTTATTAAAGTATTATTCTAATCCTCTGACAGAATTGGGACACTTTTTTTCTTGATAGCCAGAATCTTTGGGAGGCTCTTGCTGCTTTTAAAATGATTTCAGCCACTGTGACCTTATAACTCTGGTATGTCCAAATTGCCTAACCTCCTGGAGACTTGCTCTGATTGAATGGGCATGGTCTCTTTCCTCCCAAGGGGTGAGTTTTGCAGCTGTGTTTGGCTGATCTGTAGAACTGAAAGAAGGAGTGGAAGCATATGAGACATGCAGAAAAATCTTTAACAAAAGTGGACATTTCAGTACTGAAACTTTGTAGATTGCTTCACTTAATTGGCCAGATGGGTGTAGAGAGCAATCGGTACAACTTGCATACTGTTTCCCTTCCTGACTAACCAGGGGAGAGGGAATCAATGGAAAACCACATAAATGTTCATACGAAATCATAGATGAGTCACTTGTATTTGTTTAATTGCCTTGAAGTAAGCAGCATTATGTAAAGTGCAGGGTAAAAAATAATGAGGAAGAGAAATTAAAGACAGAAAATAAAAATAATCTTAATTCAATCATGCTTACACCAACACCATTCACTATTTCTCTCCATACCTTTCTGTTCTTGCAAACCTCTCTTCTTCTAACACACCCCTATTCTGATTCATATCTTGCTTGAATACAGAAGGAGAAATATTTTCTTCTGTGGCAGTGCTTCTCATTTACTGTAGTGCAATGTATAGTTTGTGTATATTTACTATATACTATATTTACTCTAGAGAGATCATAATGTGAGAAAGCACCAAGACTACTATAGCCAATAATATAAGGCTATGTGAAAAGCATGGGATTTTTCTGAATTATGTTCTTGCAACAATGTGTTTTGTTTTAACATCTTACAGGAAGAGCCAGTTAGCAAATCCAAAATCTGTGCCAATGTTTTTTGTGGAGCTGGCCGGGAGTGCGCTGTGACAGAAAAGAGTGAGCCAACCTGCCTGTGCATTGAGGTATGACACAGACCGTCGCTTTAGCAGCAAGAATCCTTTTATGGCATAAACATTTCTGTCAGTAAGTTGTATTTTTTGCTTGTGGCAATTGTAAGTAATATAGTCCTGCAAACTCTTCTGAGCATGTCTTAAGTGTTTATGTAATTATTATTGTTATTAGTCATTGTTACTATGCCAGCAGTAGGTGACCTGGTGTTTTCCAAGTGGTCTGGATTTGATTCCCATCAACCCTAGTCAACCTGGAGAACTGCATGTTTCAAAGTTAGATCCTTGCCATGAAAAGCTTAGGCAGACTTTAAGCCAGGATTAAGGCCCTATGGCTCTCTGAATGTTGAACTATAATTTCCAGGGTAGAATATCCTGTAGAGTAGGGTAGAATATCCAGGGTAGAATACGTGGAGGTAGAATATCCATGACCCTCTGCCAATTTTTTGTCTATGCCTGCTAAGTGAATATAATTTTTCTTCATTTTTTTTAAAGTGAAGTCAACTTTGTCTATAATACTGTTGCCACAATGTCACAAACAAAGGTTATAAGGAATCTTCCTATATGAGCAACAAGTACAGCAGAAATTATATATTGCATTCTTAATTGGATCAAGGAATTCCTGCCAAAAAATAAGGGAATGTGTTTAAAGTAATTTTCATGCTCAACTGCGTTTTTCATTAGAGCATAGCATGGAACAATCTTATTGTTCCCATACACAAACCAAGTTGAAAGGCTACAGTGTATGTGCTGGCTTATAAATTTGGCTTAAGTAAAATGATTTCAGGAAGAAATAATTTCTAATGAAAAACTAAGAGGCCTATTCCTCATCTGCTCCTGAAAACAAATTTACGCAACCAGTTACTAAAAAACATCTCAGCTTAATAAAAAAAAATAATTATTTTAATAGCAGAATTTATTTTAACATAAACATGCCAATTCAGAATAAAAGGAGCAGAAATACTGAAGTAGCTCCAATAATTGTTCTCAGGCATTTGTTTCGAGGGAATTTCATGTAAAATTAGGTGTGCAAACCTTCAAATTGCAGTACCATTTAAAAAGATGCAATCAATTTCCCTATAAAAGGTATGCAACTAATTCTGGTTTTATTAAATGAAGAATTGGGTGGATTTAGTAATCTCATTGTGGTGTTTGGTCAAAATGATCTGAAGCATGCAAAAATATTTAGAAAGTTCTTCAGTGAGATAAGATAATCATTTCAGTTTTCCACATAGGTTTAAGAACTAAAGATCACAGCTTTCGTTTTTTTCATAATCACTAGTGAGGCTCCATAACAATAATTACCAGTAACTAACAATACACAAACTATTTGGATGCAAGGGCAAAATTGTGTCATTTGCATAATGTAATAATGAAAGTCTTATTTCGCATACTTCAACAGGAAAGGAAATTCTCCTGTCAACTCTGAGATAATTTCATTTACAAGTAAATTAAAACATACAGTTGTAGGTACATAGCCATTCTGACACTACAATAATTGGAATATTACCAGACAATAGATCATTATATGAAAATCTCTGTTGTATGTGTTGTAATTTGCATATACTGTAGCTTTTATTATTACTATCAGCCCAAATCCATCCATGGCAGGATTAAAAGTTTGTAGACCACAGTCTACGATCTTGGTCCAGTCTGGATAGTTGTTTTTTTTTTAACTTCCCAGGCTAAGGACTGAGAAAGAATAACTGGCCCAAGGTCACCCAGCCAGCTCCTGGCCTAAGGGAGGACTAGAACCTAGGTCCAGCACCTTAACCACTACACCATACTGCACCTTATCAAGAATTAGGTTCTGGAGCTGGTTAATGCAGTCCAAAGCCTATTCTTTTAATGGTGTCAAATAAAGAAGTCAATAAATGCATTGTAAAATTTTGTTTTATGTTAAAAACTGTATATTTATTAGCCAAGAGTGTTGAATACCTACCAAATAGTAAATATTGTTTCCAATTTATTTGTAACTGTAACAAGCTAGAATTTTTCTTTGAATCTCAGTGGCTCAGCTGAGTGTTCCTTTTTCTGGGCAAAAGCCACCATTACTGTAATTTCTGAAAATAACTTTATTGTTGTAATTAACCAGCACAGCCAACCATTGCTGTTTTTCTCCTCTTAATAAGAGGTGGATCATCTAGCATCTTTCTGGAACTTGTCCCTTATTGTCTCATTTTATTTCCTTCTAGCTGGTCAATGAAAAGTGCAACGAAAGTCATCAGATCAGTGTCCAATTCACTAAGCTATCAATGGTCATTTTTTATTTATATTTCAAATTCAGTCACCGTCCATTTCACTCAGAGAGCGACTCTGGGTGGTTTACAATAAAACTAATAAAAACCAATTGAATAACAATAAAAACAGTGTTCATAAATAAATAATATATTCCAAGGAATTGTTGGTATATAATAGGTTATCGACCTATGGGAGCGTCTTCAGGGTGCCAGGATGCCCCCACGATTGGTTACCCCTCCTCAAGCCCCACGCAAGCTGGCAGAGCCAGGTCTTTGCCCCTTTCCAGGCGGCCAGGAGAGTGGGGGCCCACCTCACCTCTGGGGAGAGAGCATTCCATAGGGCGGGAGCAATGGCAGAGAAGGCCCTCTTCCTGGACCCCGCTAGTCAACATTCTTTAATTGACGGGGTCCGTAACATACCTAACGTTGCCTAACAAGCTCTACAGAAAATAAAATTTTAAAAAGTAAAGTAAAATAAAATAAAATGTTTCCTTTCCATGATTTTCATGATTTGTGTGTCTTTTGGTGGTTTGCTATGATGAAAAGGGATGCAAGGGATGCAGAAGGGAAGGTTAATTGTAAAAATGTAGATAAAAGAATTAAAATTGTCCAAATACTTGCCTGTCACTCTGTTGCAATTCCTTGGATTTAAAAGTCCCTGTGAGTTGTGAAGGTGAAATAATGGCATCCATCCAACTGTTCTTCTCAGTAGCTGAAACCATGGTTGTTGTATGTTGCTACAGCAGCTGGATTATGGAACGTGTGGAAACACTTATAGTGTGGAAGTGCCTGAAAATGATTTGAGTTTTTGATACATTGCAGCAAATATTCAGGATTTTAAGTGTGTGGTTTTCAGATTATAAGATTATTTTATGTGGCAACCTGGTACTATCTAAAGAGAACTGAACTGTTGTTTATGCAGCAATGACCACCTTCACTGATCTCAAAAAAATTGTTTGCAGCAGTGGCAAACAATTTCCGTGTTGCTGCCAAGAAAATGACAT